CCAGCGATCACAAATGAATCGTTGAATGCCACGGTAGCTGTCTTGCGGATTATTTAATTATTTTTCTTCTTAATGCAGTGTCAGTGAAGGCTGTCGGTGCTTGGGAAGCTTAGGCCAGGCAGAGCTTGGTGGGGGGAGCTGGTGGAAGTATGGTACAGTGTGGGGTGTCTGAGAACAAGGGAGGCCCTTAAAGGCTGTAGGAAGGAGAGAGGGGACCAAGGGGATTGTTTACAAAGCACGCTGTAGTTACTTCGAAAATCTTAACCGCAGCTCCTTTGAAATTCTGCTTGCTGATAGATGATGCAGTTTGCATGTTGCATATTAATTCTGTAATGTTTTGTTTCTATTCAGGTTTTCTTGCGTGTTGTGATCACTAATTTGGTTAAATTATTAAATAAATTACTTTATTGAAATTATTATTTTGTTAGATATTTTAATCTGGCAACTGAGAAAAATATACCTGCTTTTCGAAAGCAGTTTATACCACTTCAGCCCAACTAGTATTTAACAAAATTTCCACTGTTACGTGCTAACAATATGCAGGTGTATTTGTAGGGTTGCCTTTGTGTTTTTAGGGTTTGGGAGAAGGTGTTTTTTAACTGTAAAGATCCTTCTTAATGTCTCCTGTCCATTTTTTTGACAGGATGAAGCAGGAATCCCAGGTATACTAGTTGGAGTTTCTGTAGATGGAGAGGAAGTCTGGTCAGAAGGTTAGTATACGGGAGTAGTAGTTGTGCATGCTGTTGGGAAGTGATGAACGTTTTAAAAATGAACAATTCAGACACACTGATCAGGCCAGGATGTCATCCGCTTGATGTCCCATCTCTGGACAGTGGCCAGAAACAGGTGCCTAAGGAGTATGAAGTGATACTTTCCTTGGTAAACTTCAATAATTTCCAGGAATCAATAATTTATTAACTTCCTGAATGTGCTAGTATATCTCAACAGTTATGTGTAAGAACCTTTTTTCCATTAATTTGTCAGATCGATCTTTGAATATACTTATACTCTAGGCATACAGCTGTACAGTGTATATATCCTGTTCTCCCCACAGGAACTTACTTAACAGTCAAAGTAATAATGGCTCACATTTGGTGATCTGTCTCTCATTTGTGGGCTGAGGTGTAGATTTTTCCTGGAAAGGAAATCCTGAGATTTAACAGGTGTCGTCCATCCTTCCAGAAATTGCAAGTGATTTTTCTGGTTACACAGTTTAGTATCAAATAGTCTGTTAGTATTGCTCATATCATGTAGTCTTTTGATGTTTATTAAAAAAGCCCACCAAACGGTGTGTCTGTTTTCAGAAGCATTTTCATAATGTGTCTTGGGTTTTTTGGACAACTTAAATGGTAATAGTAAATGGCAACGTATTTCATTAATGTGTTATGGAATTTAAAAAAAAAAAATCTTTGTAAGAAAGATTGTTACTAACTTCCTTCTGACAGTCTGGTGTTGCATTAACTTTTATACATATATAAAGTTGATTATAGGTTTTCATTTCTCTTTCATCATGACAGAAGTGAGTTGGAGAGCCTCTGGTACCTTTTGTAACGTGGCCTAATAAGAAAATTGTGCTAGAAACTTAATCACAAACTTTCTCAAATCAGATAGCTTTTTCTGAGCTCAAATTACCTAGCAATGAAAGCAGAAGGTTTTACGAGACTTCTGCAGAATCACTTCCTTGACATCCAGTAAAGTGCCTGAGGGGAACTAGTGCCAGGGTTGTGGTTTATTGGCAAGACTGCCAGATCCAGTAGCAAGAAACTACATGTGGGAGCATAAGCCACGGCAGAGCTTTCTGTGCGCTGCTGCATATGGATATAGAGAACAGCACTGCCTTGAGTAAGGTGGCTGGGAGGTGGGTAACATTGTTCTAGCAGACTTCTGGCTCATTTTGTTGTCCTCCTCCCTTCTTTGGGGGCGGGGTGGTGGTATAGGAACAGGTGTAAGTTGCATATATTCTGCGACCATGCTACTAAACCTGCTTTCTTGGTAAACTGGTGGGAGTGATTTGAAATTTGGAAGGTATTTTCACAGAGGGGTACAGCATCTGCATTCACAAGCACCATGCAAACACTTGAGTAGCAACTTTATGTAAAGAAAAGGTCTTTGGCAACTGACGTCATCTGGTTTATTTCTTGTATTTTGGCAAGGTTGATTTTTTTTTCCTGAGTAATTCATTATTAGACTAGAGTTTTATATAGACAGATATGCATTGCTTGCACGCCTTGCTTGTACTGAAAACTGCAAATATGCGATTACTGCATTTTGTTGCTTTTTAAGCTGCAACATCACTTGCACGGTTTCTTCAAACCTAGCTCAAACTGAAGACTAGTATGGGAGCTTGATAATGCCTTATTCATTCCAGTTCTTGCTACCAGATTTGTGGGTTGGTTACATAGGAAAACACTGGTATGTAGACTATTGAGCTGTCTTTAAATTTAAGTAATGCTGAGTGATGTTGAAACATAGTGTATAACACCACTGTCTTGTGCAGCTTTACGACTTCGGTAATTGCTATGAGTTTGTGAGTGATTATCTTTCTTGATTTCTGTATTGATAAAGTAAAATTCTTCACTGTTTCAACCGTTAATTCAGAACAATAAAAGGAGTATTTGTGACTGTTGGTCAGTTATTTTACAGTCTAGATTTTGGTCTCTTCAGTTTTTCTACATTGAAGATTAAGCCAAAATTTACACTCCTGAGGTCAAATATTCAATCTCATTTATCATTAGGTTTGTTTTGTAGTCTTAATCAGTAATGTGGGATGCCATTGGCCAATACAATGGGCTTTGATTAACGGTTCCTACTATATGAAAATGTTACTAACGTAATTGAAGCAGGAGCAGGGATAGTCAAATGCTTTATGTCCTAGTATAGCTAGAGGAAAAACATTTTAAAGAGCCAGTAAATCTAATTCACTGCAAATAATTAAGTCAGCATGTCTCTATGCAAAATATTTACCACAGCGTTTTTATTTTCTTAAAGGTTTGGGTTATGCTGATGTAGAGAATCGTGTAGTATGTAAGCCAGAGACAATCATGCGAATTGCTAGTATTAGCAAGTGCCTTACAATGATGGCTGTTGCTAAATTGTGGGAAGAGGGGAAACTGGATTTAGATGCTCCAGTGCAGAAATATGTCCCTGAATTTCCAGAAAAAGTCTACGAGGGTGAAAAGGTATGTAATTGTTTATTGGTAACGCTTTTCTGTATTTTTGTTCCTGTCATTGCACAGCCATATGCCTACTGGTGCCTGTATCTGGACCTATTCCTGTAAAACACCAAAAATCGTTTAGACAAGTACTGATACTAGCTGCTCGAAAGAGCAATGTTGGAAATTTGGAGCTTCGGTTTTATATCAAGTGTGTAGCATGCACATACATATGTATATATTTTAACTGGGTTTAATATGTGATATTTAAAATGTCTTATATCTTTGTTCCTCATCATGTTGAATTTTACTTTTCTGGTGACTTAATGTGCATCATATCTTCAACGAAGAGAGCTACCATTTAAATATTGTCCTTTCTACCTAGGTCGCTATTACTACAAGACTGTTAGTTTCACACTTGAGTGGGATTCGTCACTATGAAAAAGATGTTACAAAAGTAAAAGAAGAAAAGGAAAAGGCAAACAGAGCATTTAAACTAACAAAGCCCTATCAGGATAAAGAACAAAAAGAAAAAGAAGGCAAAGGGATTGAAAAGACTGATTCTGTCAAACTGAGGAAAGAACACGAAGGTGAGGTAAAAAGCCAAAATGCAAAACCTGGCAGGAGAGACAAGGAATTTGAGCAAGAAGAATATTATTTGAAGGAAAAATTTGAAAGTGTGATTGAATCACTGAAGATATTTAAAAACGATCCTTTATTCTTTAAACCAGGTGAGTTTCTATTCATTTAGACCAAAATGTTCTCTTCTGATGACATTTTTGTTTCAAATTGTTTTACATGCAGTGAGGATAGTAGAGTCCAGTAAAGTGTTTGTGTGGGGTTTTTGGTTTGTTCTGCTTCCCCATCCCTCCCCCCCTCCCCTTTTTTTTCTTTTTTTTTTTACCTTCTTGTGCCCCATTAAAAGCTCAATGGAGAAGTATTTGGGCTGTTCTGCACAAACCATCTGGTCATGTAATTGTCTTAAAACTGATGTAACTTTTGAAGACTGAACTGATCAGGATTTTATCAGTTTAATTTTAGATAAGTCCTGTATAGATATCTTTACCGATCTACTGACTTAAAGAACTTTGCTTATATAGATACCTTCTAAGGGTATATCTGCACCATGATCCTGCAGGTTCAAAATGTGATGTAGCCAAGACTTATAAGGTAATGCAAAGAGTCCCAGATAATGCAGGGGAGAAGAGAAAGTGGGACCTCAGGCAGAAATAAGACTTTCTCCCAGGAGCTCTAAGTAATGCAGTAAGTGCTATGAAATGTACCAGTTACTGAATTTATAAATGCTAAAACAGATTATAAGTTTGGTAACCAATTTGTATCTACAAAGTATTTTGTAGGTGGATACCAGCTTGCTGTATGCATGCTCTAGGCCTTCTAGATATGAAGCGAAAGCAAAAAAATTTAGTGAGGCACTAAACCAGAGATGAAAAATTCTATAGAAAGACCATAGCATCACAGAATTGGTGAAGTTATTTATTGTTGGAGTTATTTAAGTTAATTCTAGAGAGGACTTCAAGGGTAAGTTCAAATGAGTTAGGTTAACAGGCAGATGATACTCATTGCTGATAAACAGTAAATAATGTGCATTTAAGGGGAGAGGGGCAGGAAGGGGGAGAAGTTAACTACTTAGCATCGTGGAGGGTTCTAGGAACCATTTCAAGTAAGAGATCTGTCTTGACTCTAGGCAGTTTGGCAGTTGCTTGATATGTAGATGTTTCGAAAAAGGTGTTAGTGCAAGAATGAGATTTTTAAAAATGAAACCTTGTTTTGTAAATGAATTATATTGTCTTTATTAATATGCATGTTAGTGTTCATATAATCTTTCGGAATATACTAGAACTAGAAACACTATGATAAGTGATCAAGACCTTTTGAAAACCTCGAGCGAGTACTACCCTTGTCTTTCCATCTCTAGGGTATAGACACACAAACAAGTCACGGTAGGTGAGCGTCTTTTAAGAGGTAATTTTATGGTTTGCTTCAGCTTTCCAAATCCAGACATCCTTCTTAGAACTGGTGTGGTATATGTTGTGGAAAGGATGTTAAACGTCAGTCTTTGCATCTTTGCATGAAACCTGGCTGTACATGCAGATCCCTGAAAATTTTTTAGTGCTGTTCACAGAGCTACCTGCACTTAGCAAGCATCTGTGTCTGCTGCAGTACAGAAATTCCTAGGGCCCAGTATCATATGCTTGTGATTGATATCACATTAAAATGAGGATGAAGGGGGGGTCTCTTAATCGATTATTCATTGCTATATGTACTTTTATTTGCACAAGTGATTACTTAGATTTTATCCTTCAGATTATGTTGAACCATCATGCAGCTAACTTTTTCTTTTCTTTCCCCTTTCTCATTCTGTTTCTTCAAGGTAGTCAGTTCTTGTATTCAACATATGGCTTTACTCTCTTAAGCGCTGTTGTGGAGAGAGTTTCAGGACAAAAATTTACAGATTATATGCTAAAAATGTTTCGTGATTTGGATATGCTATCAACTGTACTAGATGACAATGAAGCAATGATATATAACAGAGCAAGGTAAACAAGGATGAAACTTTTTTTCCCCACAGTAATTGTTGCTCTTTCTATCTTTATTAAGCCAACTGAATTAAGAATGTGTGATTTTTTTAAAAATTATTTTTTATATTTTTTTTCAGGGTTTTAAATTAAGTGGATTATGTTATTTCAAAGTTAGTCATGTAACTGACTATGTCAGGATTATGGTATTGGTTCTGTAATCAGCATGTAAAATTACATAATAGGAAATGAGTATTTCCTGTTATAAGAGTATATATGGGGGTAGTAGCAGGGGTGGCTCTGAAGTTTACATTTATTTGGGGTACAAACAAGCAGGTAAGTATAACTAGAGTAAAATAAAGGCCTAACTAGGAGATTATGTTAGAATACATAGTTACCTTGGTTTGCTTAATACACTGACTTTTTAAGAATTCCGTGAAATTGTAATAATCTCACAGTAACACAAGGTTTTCATAAAGTAAATTGTAGTATCAATTTTAACCAGAATTAAAATTCTGTTTAACACAGAACATGCTTTACCGATTGATTTCTTTTTATTAACTTAAAAAAACCCAACCAACCAACCAACCAAAAACCCCCAAAACCACACACACCCCTGAAAAAAATCCCAGAGAAATGATGGTAGTCTTGGACCATTCATATCTCTTCCTTTGCTTCAACCTCAGATTTTCAGTATTATGGCTTTCAGAAATTTGCTAAAATTTTTCCACTGTAAGTGCAGACTAGATAGGGAATGTATTTCTACTGTTTGACAGTAGGCTTGCCCTGGTGCCTTTTCACAGCTCTGCAAGTAGTACGTGGACCTCTTGTGGCCTAAAGGCTGAAGGCTGAAATTCATCAGATTATATAGTAATTCAACATTCCTTTTCATACGTTGTATGAAATGAATCCAGTCATGATTGAACTGTTTCTTTCAAAAGCATAATTCAGTCTGCACTCCTGTTGTGTTGTTCCTGATAGTTCACTCTGCCATTCTGGTTGGTAGGTTCTAATTTGTAATTTAAGGACAAGTTTTTCAAGACACTTTCCTGCTTCTCACTTTTCTTAGTAGTTCTAGAATATTTAGTTGTTGTAGTATATGACAACTGTGATGGGGCAGCGGGGGGAAATCAATCATAAATGGAAACTACTGTCTCAGAGCAGTCACCTAAGACTTCAGTGAAATTTCAGCTCAGCATCTGATAATCATGGGGTAGCTGTAGGATTCCTCTTTCTTAAAACACTTTAAATCTAGTACAGGGATTTAAGGAAAATCCTGTACTGGCTGATCTATAGATTTCTGTCACATGACTTATTTTTATATTGCCTTTACTCTTAGTATATCCTAAGATTAAGTAGAAGGATTAATAATTTTATTGAAACTAAGCTTCTAACCTAAGAACTCACCTTAATTTTTGTTTTCCCATTTGAACTTCTTGTTGATTTTTCTGCAAGAAATATATTTAAGAAAAAGATATTTTAAAAAATTCTGAAGTTTCGTGAGAACAGGCTAATACGTGCTCTAGTTTGCTCTTTTAAGGTAGGGCAGCTTAAAATGGTTGTGCATAGTATCTGAGAATGACAAGTTGAATTTTCCTGAATTGTAGGTGTTATGTTTACAACAAAAAGGGACGGCTGGTAAATGCACCATATGTGGACAACTCTTACAAGTGGGCTGGTGGTGGCTTTCTGTCATCAGTAGGTGACCTTCTGAAATTTGGAAATGCCTTGTTATACAGTTATCAAGCTGGACAATTTAAAAACACTAGCGGCAAACTTCTTCCTGGGTACCTCAAACCAGACACTGTTGCAATGATGTGGACCCCAGTGCCAAAAACAGAGGTATCGTGGGACAGGGATGGTAAATATGCAATGGCTTGGGCTGTAGTAGAGAAAAAACAACAATATGGCTGTTGCAGACAGCAGAGACACTATGCATCTCATACGGGTGGTGCAGTGGGGGCAAGTAGTGTCCTCCTGATTCTTCCTGAAGAGCTGGACTCTGAAGCTATAGATACTGGGCTAGTGGCACCACCTAGAGGAGTAATTGTTAGTATTATTTGTAATATGCAATCGGTTTCACTCAACAGCACTGCCTTAAAGATTGCAAGGGAATTTGATAAAGAAAAATGGGCACGATATGTAGATTAAAAAAAGAAATAGGTGTAACTGAACTCACTGTACTGAAACATGAAAAACAAATGGAGAAGGTTGTAATTGGACTCAGATCACTAAGAATACGAGAGGAAAAAGCATCAAAAATTTACTTAAACTTCTGCTAGTGGTGCTAAACTTGTGTAACTGGAATTCATCTCTCAGGGAAGTTCCTAACTTACAGAATAGGAGAATGTAACAGTCAAATTTGACTTCCTGTAGTACCTGTGTAAATTATCATAATATTAGCAGGTGTTTTTTTTTCTCATCAAGCACTTGACCAAGATTTTAAAAAATAGCATTGGTTTCTTGCATTGAGAAGTGCAACAACAAATTATCTACTTTAAATGTTGAACTCTTGAAAAATGTCACGTCTTGATTTGAGCACACAAAGACTTAATTTGTTATTCTCATAGTTCCGGTCTACTGAAACCATTCAGTATTACTTTTTAAAGAGAAATGGTTTTACTGTTGATTTTTATATGTTCACATTGCACTTTTCTTATTTACTTAAAAAGCAAGAAAAACCAACAAAACCCAAATCTTTAAGCTACCTCCAGAATACAGATTTATACCAGAAGTACGCTTTGTCAGAGCTGTGGATTGTTAAGAATTAGAAAAGAGTCAAGCTAGAGTAATGTAAGTAAAAATCTTTTTTGTTATTTAGATGTCCTCTCTTCCATTTTTATTGGACACAGAGAATGTGTGAAACTAGTTGACTGTGAAATAAGGGTATTAGTTCCACAGTCGAATATGCCCGAATAGCACATGGTGAGCTGTCAAACTGTCTCATTGTTTTTGAATGATACACATGCTAACTTTGGTAGCCAGAAATGGCACTGTATTCTGTAATGTAGATATTCCTTCCGATACAGGAATTGGGAACTCAAATCGCTCAGTAAAATTTAAAGCCCATTCTTGAAGGCAGTAGTAGAAGTCTCGTGGACTTTGAGAGGTTTTTTTGAAAACTGTCCTTTTTGCCATTTGGAGACCTGCCTCGGAGAGTTACTTTTGCACAAGGTTGAACAAGAAAGTGTTAGGAGTTCCAAAGAAGCATTTTCTAATATTCAGTTTTTCTATAGGAATACAGTAATGTGAATATGTTATTTTTATATATTCCATAAAGGCATGAAAGATCTCCATAATCTCAAAGATTTACCCCTACCCAACTTCCCCTGCAGTTACATCAGACAGTACTTCCACGCTGAGACAAAGCAAAATATCTTTCAGGAAAGGTTTGAATACTTATGTCCCTGCACTGTTTAGCAGCTCTGCTGCTCTGAATTTAAGGAGCAGGATGTCTTAGGTAACAGCTAGCGGAAGGTAGCCTTATCTGCCTCTTCTCAGCATTAACTTTGTAGTTGTTACATGCCCTGTGATGAAACAACGTGCTAACATCTCTGTTCCCAGTATGCCTACGATAACATTTATTACCTAAGACTGATAAACCAGGAAATTTACTATTTTGAGGTGTCAGTGTTTTACCTACATTTTTAATTGAACCTAGTAAGGCTGGTTTAGTACTCTTCATTGTAATTATCGTTCTTGTGCCTTAAATCAGTAAAAGCTTACATCTAAACTATTTGCTTGGGTTTTCTGGCCCACTCACCAAAACTACTTTTTTTATTTGTTGATAATGGGTTGTCTTTATCTCAAGAATATCAAATCAGTAGAGACAACAGAGAACCTTTCTAAACAAACTTTCATTTGGTCAGGCAATAAATTATCTGCTCTTCCACTGAAGTCTTTCATGTTGTTTGACAGTTCCAATACAGAAGTACTGGAGGTGAGTGTCTTCTACAATAGCAACTTTTTTTTATTTTTCCCAGTCTTGAGCACCTACTAGCTGGGTAAACATGCAGCAGCAGAAGTCATTGCCCATTTTACACAGGGAACAAGAGTTGTTTTCATGTATTCATCTTAATGAATAGAAATAGACCAAATACAATGTTTTAAATGTAGAAAATCTGAAAAGTAACAGTTATTTTAGGATTTATAACATACTTTTCTCATATGGTGTGGTTTGCAAACAGTATTGCTCTTGAAAACCATTTTGCATACTTGAGAGAAAACAAGTTTCACTCACTGACCATTGTGTTTGGGTTTAGAAATGTAGAAAGCATAGGTTTATCATTATGCTTGTCTGCATATGACCAAACACTAATAAATGTAAATATTTGAAGTATGTATGAAAGTGAATAATGGTAAGAAGTGTTTAAGGCATTTCTAACACCAAGACATTAATCACAGTGTCTCACTCCCCTTATGTTTAGCCACCAACTTTTTATATGCATACCATGTTCTTTATACTATATCTCCCATAACTTAATGCTTTTAAAAACCCTCTGCTGTCATATGTACAGGATTGGAGATGCTATGATGTCTAAATTTCATCTTCCAGTACCTGGAACAAAACGGGTCACTGACTTTCTCTGATTTGCTATTATTTACTTAATCCTGAGTTCTTAGCGTTTATGGTGGAGAAATGAAGGCAGAGATACAGGAGACTAAGAATCAATCTGGCCTTAGCACATGTATTCAGGTCACAAGTGAATTAATATTGCTACTTCGATCTTTGTTCTGAAACGAGTTATTTGATGGACTGGCATTAAGTGTGGGAAACTGATCAATTAAGAGGAGCCTTCATGATAAACTTGCTCCTAAACCTTTATTTTGAAAACACAGTGTGGCACTGACATAAAACTGTGCTTTTGTTAAAAAGGCATGTATATTAAATAGGTGCATCTATTTCTGTATCAAACACCTACTTTTTGCATCTAGTAATTATAAATGTTCACTGTTTGAATTAACTGAAATAAAACTTATCTTGCAAATGCCATGAATTACCAGGTTTTGAGTTTGGTGTTTTGTTGTTTTAATTGACTAGAAATGTATGAGTTTTAAAAGTCATAAAAAGAATATAGGTGAAATAGAAATTCCCAACAATAATTAGGTCACCAAGACACCTGATACTTTCAAAGAGATGTTGATACATAACTTGAGATATTATTTAGTAAAATAAGATACGTTTAAGACAATGTTTTTTCATGGTTTAAAAAAAAATCCAGTTTTTAACAGCCACTTAAGAGGGATGGCTTTTAAAAACTAGCTGAAAACCTGTTTCCTCTTTGCAAAAAGGTAATTATTTAATGTCAGTATTTAATACTGAAAACATGCATGTACTAGGTTTTTTTTAATGACTGGATACCATTCCTAGCTGTTACTGTGGTGTGCTGACTTACTGTTGCGTGTATACTATCTGCCTTCTCTATACTGATTGCTTTCAGTGTTTTGCAAAAGACTCTTTTTTTTTTCTGTGTGTGTATAGAAATCTCAGTGTAGAATACCAAATGCAGTTTTGAGACCAGATTAGAGGGAGGGAAACCCATGCATTCTAGAAAAACAGCCGAACATAAGTGAGTAACTTCCTATTTTTATTTATCACCATGTTATTCAACACGGTAAAGGGACTAAAGCAATGTTGAAAGCAAATGAGCCATTTTAAGTCTATCTAGCACTTGCAACCCTTGCAGGTAGGGTAGCTGCAGTAAAGTATACAAAATGCATTCTTACAGCAGTTTTTGTCACCATATGCATTAGACTGCTGTACTTGATGATTAACAAGGGGAAGGATGCAGCAAGTCCGAGGTGTTTATATTAAATGACACCACCCGATTAAACTTTTAACAGTAAAATTATAAAAATAGAGCTCAGTTGTCTGCAAACTTGCAGGAAAAACTTGCGCTTCATTTATTGAAAAAGAGATTCCAGCTCATTAGTCACCACTAGCATGTAATTTTTACAAAATCATTCATAATTACATTGTTGTATTAACAGGCATTTTTAAACTGGTAAGGCTTTCAGGAATGCAGATCCAAACCCACATGCTGAAGGGTTCAGTGTTGCTTTCTTCTAAATGAACAGCCTGTAAAGAAATGACAATGAGTATAGATTTCAATAGTTCTTAAAGTGCTAGACTGCCTTGGAAAATTGCCCACCCAACTTAAGTAGGAGTCAACCAGAACAACCTGGCTGTTGTATAATGCATCTTAAACTAAGGCTAAGGTGTGTGATTTATTTTCTTCCAGATGCCTTTTAAAATTTCAGTCTGCTCTTGCATCCCTTAGTGATACAAACCCCAAACTGAAACGGCTGCTAAGAGTGCTGATAACTTTTTTAACTGTTCAACAGCCTCACTTCAGGTCCTCATATAAACTACATGATATAAGCACTACTATATATAATTTCCATATATATTTACCTTTTCTCTTTTAAACAAAACATGAATAAAATCTGGATTTGGTCTTTATTTTTTTTTTAAACCCTCAACTGTTTCCAGTGTTCTTCAACAACCCAGACACTGGGTTACATTTCAAGATAGTGGTACAATACTGGTTATCTGTATATAATTATCAGTGGTTATTTGTTCCCTTATACTTTATACAAAACAAAGTATGGTTAAGTAACATGAGCCAGGGAACTGCCTTTGCAGTACTACTGTTTAAAAACAGACAGGCAAACCACCACTGACTGGCAGTGGCAGAGAATCACTTTAGCCTGGGAAAATACCCTACTCCTTTAATGGTGCTTTTTAACACTCTAAACATACCTCAGTATATATTACAGATAGGCTAAAGGAAAGGGCAAGTCAAAGCACCTTAAATCAAGTGTGTGTGATGGTAATGTAGCTGCTTAGCTGCCTAGCATATCTCTATAGCCATTTAAAAACAAGAATCTGAAGAAAAAATTGTAGTTCCGGGGCCATTAACAATGGCCTAACTAATTTACTAGCCTACTCCAAGCAATTTGCAAAATAAGCGTTCCAATATCAGTTTTCAAAATCAAAGCAAAAATATTTGCAGGCTATAAATACATCAATGCATTTATGTAAGTGGAATATTTAGGCTAATAAACACTGCCCCTTACCTTCTGTGAGTCTGGCTTTCCCCCCAGTAGGCTGACAGAGGACCGTTGAGCACCCCACACAGAGAACTACTGTCTGAGCATGGCTGAATACAGTG